GACATTTCGTCCAGGACATTTTCTAAAGGACATTCCTGACATGATTCTTCATTAATATTAAGATCTGTTTATGAAAATGCTTTCATGATTTTCTGGTGTTACTTTTCCTTAGATGTTGAAAAAAGTATATTGGAGAAGAGAAAAAAAAACATCTGCAAAGTTATATTATTACTGGTTGAATACACTTGATAATGAACAAAAGTAGAATCTTTTATTATACAAATAAATAAATTAGGAATACAACAGATAGGTTTTTCACATTCAAGAATCTCAATTATATGAAGACGAGCGACGCATATATGCTTCACCGGTCCTCAAAGGGTTAATAAATCTATTATTTGTCAAACGTATTCCTACAGACTTAAAATGTGACTATACCTGATCGAATTCAATGATAAAGTATTTTCGTCTTCATGTAGGGAAATATTATTCTTAACTTCACTAAAACCTAGCAGTGAATCAATACTTTACTCTTTCTCTAAATAACAACGTAGGCCATTTTTTAATATAAATAAATACGCATTTACTTACATTGATAAATGATCTTCTCATCATTTCTTTTGATGTAATTTATATAGTATAGAATATGTAGAGAGAAATGGCGTTCTCTATCTTTTCATTTTGTCTACTTTTTTTTGCTAGCGAGAGATTGTAGATTTTTATTTTATTCATAAAATGAAACAGCTCGAGAACTAATTTCATTATTTCTTTTCTATCCTGTCATTTCTATTTGTTGCATGAAAGATCTTTCAAAAACATTAATGAAGTTGCTTTGATCTCTGCGCAAATTATTCTTCGCAACATATTTTTCATTTAATGTCTCTTCTCCAGATAAGTGTATAAAATATTTTAATTAGAAAAATATATTTATCCGACGACTTGATCTAAACATATAGAAAAAGAGCTGATGACATTTCCCTAGTGAATGAACTCATACAGGAGTACTCAAAAAGTACTCGTATGTTGTATTTGTCATGGATGTTAAGTCTTCGACTACTACTAATGAGTACTTATATAAACTGCTGAGTATTTGATTTATCATAACCATTCAAAGATAGAACATGTGCCATACGGCATCGCATTTTTATGTAAACTCTTCCCTTAAGATAAAACTAAGCAACTTAATTTAACTTATAGATCTATTAATTGGATAGAAAAGGATTGTCTATACTCATAGCTTCGCTTCAATTCAGATTAAGTTTAGCGACTATACATTCTTGAAACAGAAATTCAGAAAAATCATGAGTTTGAATATGTTTTGTAATGTTTATCCACATGATTTTTTCATAAATGTCTACTTGATTTGATTACGGCTGAATAAGGTAATTTGAAAACGATGAATTGGTTACAATGTAAAAACCTAGAAAGATCTATGAATGAAACTGAGTTTAGATGGAAGGAAAAACTTGTCGTGTGAGAGTTGAGTGAAATACATTGTTGATTGAAGATGTACTTTCGCATGGGACGCAATCACTTGACCGACAATGACTTGACCGACATATCACTTAGCCGACGCCACTTGGCCGAAAGATTGTTTCGCCGAAAGGTACTCTTAGCCGACAGGTTTATTTTGCCGACACAAATTTGAAGGTGTGTGTGTGTGTGTAGGTATGGATGTCAGTGTGGGTGAGAGGTGTGTGTGGGTATGGATGTCAGTGTAGGTGAGGGGGTGGGTGTGGGTATGGATGTCAGTGTGGGTGAAGGGGTGGGTGAGTGTGGGTGTGTTCTGTTTTAAGTATTCCTACAGTCTCACCCTCAAGTTTTTGTCGGCGAAATGAACCTGTCGGCTAAGCGTACCTTTCGGCTAAACAATCTTTCGGCTAAGTGGCGTCGGTTAAGTGATATGTCGGCTAAGTGATTTTCGGCCAAGTGTAGCGGACCCCTTTCGCATATATAGTTATAAAGTATCAAAGTAAGAGATATCATGAATATGATTAATTTTTAATTTCCCTATTAATCTCATTCTTGAATTATTCAAAAAAAGAATGCAATCTGAACAGATTAACTATTTTTATTCGTAGAAAACAAGTCTCATGATTTATTCTTGGATAGTAATACACATTTAACAATATCACTATAACTATCTTGTTCTCTATAATAAGAACTATTTTTTTCATTGAAGTCGTATAGTAATCACTGTTGTTTTTAATTTCTTTTTGCATGCATTACATTGCCTATACTGACGTTGTACAACGTGAAATAATCAAACAGATATATTATTGTGCTTTTTTCTCTAAATGTTAGTCAGAATTGCATATGAATTGAGGGTATATTTTTAGATTTTCCATACCAACTATTCATGCGAACGGAAAGAAATCTAATGGAATTCAACTTATTCTAGCAATCAAACAGTAGTTAACCGCAATATGTACCGAAATTTTGAATATTTGATATCAGTTGTATTTAGTGTGATCTTTAGTATAGTAGTTATTCAGTTTTTTGTTCTCAAGCGACAACAATATGCAATGATTATACCCATTCATAATAATACATTAAATCTTACGAAGTTATATATTTAATCGCGATTCATTCAGTATAATAAAAATGTCATTTTTAAAAGAGTTAGGATGTGGATGTGAATTTGGATGAGTATCTTGAGGATGTGCACGTCACTCACACTTTTTACGCTTAGTTCCACAGTTCATAAAAGAGCGTTGACGAAAACAGATACAGCAACAGCAACACGTCAATAAACAAGCACATGCTATCAAACTATAAACATAAAGAAAACAGGCCGATGAAAAAATAATTTCTAAATGCAGTTATATTTGTGTGTCCGCCTATATCCACATATCAGTTTTTCTTCATTCTTGTACTTACCATCTTATCATTACAAAGCGCACTCGACGACAACAAGTATTATTTCCTTCATCATCACGATGTTCTTTACTATCTTTGATTGTTTCTTCAGTTTTCTCCTGTTTATCGATAGTTTTTCTAAAGATTCAATTAAAAAAATACTCTTTAGATACGTTATTTTGATAAAAATAAGAAATAACATACCTAGAAGATTTTAGGGATTTATTCTTACGAGTCATTTGAGGAATATTATTCGTGAATGTAACAAAATAAAACTAAGCTTTGTCTGCAAATGTTTTAGTGCGTATGAATGTTTAATAAAAATAAACAAAGAATCTATGATTTCGTTCGGAAGTACAGAACGAATGAATTTATTTTTACACATGCTATGTAACTGACTGTAAAAACTTACTTGTTTTCTCTTCCACTATTCGTTTATTCGAATTATTGCAACAATTGTGTTAAAAATCATAGTTTTTTCCCTGATTTCAAACCTTTTTTGAATTCCTTACAATCAAAAATATTTGAGAAATTATGAGATAAAAATGAAATTACCATTGTAGTAGTTAAAGTTGTTCACATCATCAAGATATTAACAGAATCTAAATGAATTGATCGGCGATCAAGTGTTGATTCATGACCAGGATTCCATTGTAAACGACGAACTCGACTTATATTAAAAGTATCTCTATATTCTTATCTGTTATCATATCACCTCTTCCATTAGTTAATTTATGTTTGTGTTATAGTGATTTGTCACTATACCCTCTTAATAAAAGTTCATCGAATATCTCATTTCTTCTCTTGCATTTCCATAAACAACAGACTGAATAACTGTCTCCGATGTCTTCTCTATTTTGTTTCTACTCGGTGAACGTCGTATAGTACATATGACCTTATAATCAGACACGTCGATTATGAGCTATGCTCATCTGTATATATAATTATATATCGTAGTTTGAAGTATGTTTTATTATAAC